CCTCAGTCCCTCTTGAGTTAGCTAACCTGATTCAAGTCAGCTATAATTTCTGAATTTCAAATTTATCAATAATCTCTGGGGCCAGTCTCCAGAATATGAAATTCTACTTAAAGTAATGCCACCTCCTTGCAGAAGATTATTTTTACATGAGAAGTCACAATTGTGCATTTTCTATGAACTTTTAAAAAAACTCCTCATATGTATGGATTTCAAAGCATTTTGCCTCAAAATAAACATCTTTTAATTCCATTATCCATAAACGTTCTTCTCTTTGTAATGGTTCAAATTTCAACCAATGTATTGCTAGTAACTATAGAAATAAATATTTGCAATTGAATGTCAGGACTTTTTCTTTGCCATTCTATAGAATAATATCTTTTATGTGAAGCTTTTGTCAGTTTTAAATCTTAAAATTTTCTTATTACATCACACAGATTTGTTACTCAGGTGGGAATTATGTGAACTACGAGAATGATTCCACCATTCAACATGAATTAAAGGATGAGCAGGAAACCCAAACATGTCACTTCAGAATACATGCTTTGGGTGATTCTAATCTCTTGACTCTTTTCAACAATTTATCTTGTATTTCTCATCACTGACTTTCCAAAGTGAAAATTTGAGATTTTATTTTTTCTTTTTAAATGTATTAATTTTTAATAGCCATCATTATCAAATCCATTACTGAAACCATCTCTTTTTATATATTCTCAACTCTCAACATACGTGTACAGCTGTCAGTTTGGATTTTTTTAAAATGACTTTCCTTTTCTAGTAACACATATAGTTTTAATTAGTTTTTTCTAAATATTTTGATTCTTACACCTTTTTTTACATCTCCAATATTCACCATGAAAAATATTGTCCTGGTTGCTAAAGCTGCAATTTCTGTGCTGTTCTTTGATGTATAAAGATTGTTTTGCTCTCTACAAATTAAGAGACTAAATTCAGGACTAGCAGTCTGTGTTTTGAATTTTCAGAACTAAGCATATTAAAAAAAGGGAAAAATAATGTAAATATGAATCATATTAAAATAAGTCCTACAACTAATGGTCTGTATTTTAAAATTTTTCTACTACTACATTTGTTAACTAAAAAAATACTTAAAAAAATGGGTGTACCTGTGAGTTAGTCATGTGAAGATAAGAAATACAAAAAAATTTTTTAAAGATTTATTTATTTATTTGGAAGGCAGAGTTACAGAGAAGCAGAGGCAGAGAGAGAGAGAGATACAGAGAGAGAGAGGTCTCCCATCTGCTGGTTCACTTCCCATATGGCCACAACGGCCGGAGCTTTGCCGATCTGAAGCCAGGAGCTAGGAGTCAGGAGCTTCTTCCAGGTCTCCCATGAGGGTACAGGTTCCCAAGGATTTGAGTCATCTTCTACTGCTTTCTACTGCTGAGCTGGATTGGAAGTGGAGCATCTGGGACTTGAACTGGCACCACTATGGGATGCTGGCACTGCAGGAGGAGGCTTTACCCACTGTGCCGGAGTGTCAGCCCCTGTGCATTCATCTTTATGGACTTCAGTAATGATGTCACATGTTCCTATTTTTTCCATCAAGTTTAAAAATTTCAGAATTTGGTTCAATATTTGAATTTATTTATTTTTCATTTGAGAGGGGGAGAGAGAGAGAGAGAGAGCCCTTCCTGTTTATTCCCCAGTTGCTGGGAAATGTCTAGGGAGAAATCTGAGAGCTGGGAAGAAGCTGGGGGTCAGAAATTCAACCCAGTCTCCCCTGCAGATGATAGAAATCCAATTAGTTGAGCAATCACCACTGCTTCCCAGGGTGTGCATTAGCAGGAACCTGAAGTTGGGAGCCCAAGCTGGATATTGAAACCAGGTACTCTGATGTGGGATGTGGGTGTCTTAACTGCAAGACTAAATGCCCACCCCCGATTCACTATTTAGGTAATCCAAAAACAATATTCCATATAATTAGAAGTTTCTGTGATTCATGGAAGAAAGACTTAGAACAAAAAATAGTCTTGTCTGCTTTTTCTTCTTCTATGTTCTCCCACAAACCAAAATTATAATAGATACTGGAAATAGTTTTTGATTTTTTGTTTTGTGCTAAACATTGTTCTAACAATACGTATGAAATCTCAAAACAACCACAATTCTTATTCTCTTTTTTTTTTCAGAAAAAAAGTTCAAGATATTTCTTTGTTGAGCATCTTACAGAGCCATTTTTTTCATTCCTGCCCCCTTTTTGCTAGTTTCTGTACTTCTATAGCATGTACAGTTTGTAGAACTTCTAGGCATTCTTTTAAGTTAGTCTATTAATTGAGTCATTCTAACCTGCTCCAGTATTCTTCTCTAACCCTTGTTAACATTCTAAGCCATTTTGGGGGCTAGGAAGAGATGTATATAAATACAATATAAAGTACTGTTAACATTGTACACTTGTTTGTACACTAACCATGAAAGGGCAGTACATTGTTAATGGCTCTCCCTTTCATTTCAGTTGGTTAGGTTCATTTTAATTTTACATGATTATCAACTATAACAATGGATTACATGAATCTTTTTTGATTTAGCTATTTAATAAACTTCAGAAGATTTTTCCTGGCCCCATGGCTAGCCATTTGGCTCTCCAAGATACAATTTTGTCTGGCTCATTCTCAGTTTTTACAATGGAATGATTTAAATTTGGAAGTTAATTGTGGGAACGAGGGTAGGATTCATGTTGGCCTTTTTTGAGAAGCAATGATCTATGATTACAGGAACCTAAGAAAGAGCAGTGCTGGGAGATAAGTGCTTCTATTGAGAAAGTGTTAATTATGTTCATTAGCGTTGAGGCAATCTGACTAGTTTGCATAAAGGGAGGTTTTTGTAATGAGGTAGGTGCTTAATTCCATCAGAGAGTGTGGGCGTATTCAGGTGTGGTCTTGTCTCCACAATCTGGAAGGTTTCACGTTCTTGGTTTTTAAAATGCACTGCATTTTGGTAGATCTGAATCTACTAATGCTATGGCCCCCAAGCTCAATGACATTTCTCCATCTCAAGTTTATCCTCATAGCCCCCCTGCTCCTCTCCTAGAACTGCTAAAAGGACTAGATGATAACAAGCATTCTTTTCCTTTTCTTCAATTTAGATCTTTAAAAAGTGTATCCATTGCTCTAAGTCAATAAAAGGAAGATGTTTTGGACCAGTAGCTGTGCAAACTCTCGCAGTAGATAGCAATAGGAAAAAGTGAAGGCTTTTTGCTTGTAAAAACATTTACTGTCTCCTAGCAATCCGCAGTGATGCTATGCAAGTCTGACAATAGATAAATGTTTTCCAATGTCATAAAACTTTACAGTAATACGGGAAGGTTACTTAACTGTTTGCCTCGGGAATTGATGTTCTGATTCTAGAGTTTCAGAAAGCTTTGACTATATGCTAACTTCACAGAATCATCAGTCAAAAACTATGTATACTTAAAGTCATAATCATTATTTTCCAGCATCTACATTTTTCAGGTTGGGAAAACAGATCCTGGAACATTAAATAAACTTCCAAAATCACATGATTATTTTAGTTATAGAGCAGGGACTAAAACATTCACCATTCTCATTTAAAATCCACTCCTTTCCCCCCATGATATGATACTGAGAATGCTTAGGAATGAGGCCGAACTGGATGGTAGACTGGAGAAGAAACAAGGAATTTTAGAGGTTCTAAAAAATAACTTACATTCTTATGGTATAATGATGGGGTTTACCAATACATAGTATATGTCTGCCATTCTAATAAAAATGATTTGCTTCTCAATTTGAATTAAATATGATCAAAACAAAGATGCCACAGCTGGGGCATCTATTCTACTACACTGTTCATAAACTGAAAGAGTGGACAAGACCAGAGAGCCTATGGGACTCAGAAATGAGAAGAAAGCCAGGAAGAGACTACATTGAATTGGAGAAAAAATGATCATCTATAAAAGGGACCAGAGTACTCAGCTCCAGTTGATCTAATGTAAGTATGTGAGCTCAATGCTGTCAGATATTCCTGGTCAGAAAAATTATATTTCAATAATACATGTGCTAAATAAAATCAGCCTGCAGATAGGATTACCAGGCCTAGGAAATAAAAATACAGACTTCCAGTTAAATTTGAATTTATCTGTATTTATTTGGCAAACCTAACTATAAGTCATATACTTCAACACTTTGTTGATGGAAAACAGAGATATTGACTCCTATGGCTTGTACCCATCTCAGGCTTGCCAGTAATCTTCCCTTAGGATATTACATATCATTCTGAAGACTTATGTTCAGATATGGCTGCACTCCTTTTACACAGTAGAAAATTATTTGAATGTCATTTTTTTTAAATTTTAAAAAATGTATTTATTTTCATTTTATCTTGAAGGGTGGCAAGAAAGAGAGGGAGAGAACATACACTTCTATTCACTGTTCATCTGCTTATTCCCTAAAGGCCTGCAATAGCCCAGGCAGGGTCGGGCTGAAGCCAGGAGCCAGAATCTCAATCTGGGTCTCCCACGTGGGTGGCAAAACCCAAATACTTGAGCTATCATTGCTGGTCCCAGGATGTGCATTATCAGAAAACTGGAAATGAAGTGGAGCGGGACTTGAACCCAGACACTCCAATATGTGATGCAGGTGTCCCAAGCAGTTTCTGAAGCACCGGACCAGTTGTTCACCTTTGAATATTATACTCTTGAGATGGTAAATTTCACTTTAGTATTTAAGAACAAAGTATGTGAGCTTCCTCTAATTACCTTGATAGCACAAGTTGCATAGAGACGTTTATTGCTAGCTTCTAGTAAAGATGAAGGTCTTGAATATAAAAAATACTTACATGAAGATTTTCTGGGAAGAAAAACTGCTTATGTATTATTACAGGCAAACTGTATAATAATACAGACAGAATGCTCTTGGTCTCCTTGAAGCTTTCCCCATGTCTGTTCATAACATCAGATAGCTGAGAACAAGCTGCAACACATCCACGAGAGTTATAATTAACATTAGCTTGAGAAAGAGTCGTGGCTCCGCTTAATGTTAAATTCCGTTTGATCTTAATTGAAAGGAGGCACAGAGTTACAGGAAACAGACCCTTGCATTGAAAAGGCCATGGTAATATGTTTAGAGTTTCCCAAGAAACAGAAGGAGATCTTGAGAGCACAGCCATTTGAAAGCGAAGTTAAGCCCTTAACACCTCACAGCGGCAAAACCCTTCTGTGGTGCTTCAGAAGCCTTGGCTCTGGGAGTCAGTTTCTTCTCATTCAAGATAGGACCAGAAATTTCATTTTGCTTTTGAAGCAGGTAATTCCACAATAGTTTGTCAACTTGTTTTCAACTACCTTTCTTCTAACACCTTGCTACCTCTCACAGTCTATCCACCTCTTTGATTTTTCTGTCACGGTTGAGTTTTTATAAAGGAGCGAAATAGAAACAGGCAAAATAAAACAACCAAAAAGAAAAAATTAACTCATCAGATGATATTTATGTTTTCCAAAACATTGGCTTCACATTAGCCTGAGTTCCTCCTCTCAAGGAACACACAATTCGAAGGGATTGACTGAGATACAACAGAAACCGTAGCATGATAGGCTAGAAGAATCTCTTCATTCTTGGGAGAGGGTTAATACTCATGGAAGTTCACTTCTAACTGTGGTTTTGAATGTGGAAGAGGATTTTGCTAGACTAATAAGGGGAGGAAAATCATTGTAAGCAGAAAGAATAACTTAAGCAAGGGAATATAATTACATGGTGTGTTTGAGCATCAGCAAGTATTTTCAAGTCATGCATAGAGAATATTATAGGAAACAGAAGGGAGCATACAGTCTGGAGACAGGATGTGAAGGTCATTTGATTTGCATGCTAATAAACTCGGACTTGCCTCGGCACACTGGAGAGAAAGAGTAGAGTGTATTTGAGATTTTTTTTGTTTGTTCGTTTCAAAGCATAGGTTCACAGAGAGACAAGAGGCTGGGAGGATGTGGTTATGCAGCAAGTCAGGTGTGGACCAGGACTAAGAAGTAGGGATTAGAAAGTTACAAGCAGAACCCAGATGATGAAGAAGTTTCAGGATAATAATTGGTCTGGGAATTAGGTGGGAAGCTGGAAGGGTTGCTTCAAAGTCAGCTGCAGACCTGAGCTGACCTGTATGTTAAATCTGTCTCAGTTGCAGCTTTATTGGTTTGTAGGTTTTTGTTTTTTGGAGAGGGCAAAGGCTAATCCAGTAGAGAATTTATTTTTCCTTTCTGATTCTAAATAATTTTTTGAAGATTTATTTATTTATTTGAAAGGTAGAGTTACAGAGAGGCAGAGAGAGAGAGAGAGAGAGAGAGAGAAAGAAAGAAAGAAAGAAAGAAAGAAAGAAAGAAAGAAAGAAAGAAAGAGAGAAAGAAAGAAATGTCTTCCATCTGCTGGTTCACTCCTCAGATGGCTGTAAGGGCTGGAGCTATGCTGATCTGAAGCCAGGAGCCAGGAGCTTCTTCCAGTCTCCCATGCAGGTTCAGGGGCCCAAGCAGTTGGGCTATCTTCTACTGCTTTCCCAGGCCATAGTAGAGAGTTGGATAGGAAATGGAGCAGCCAGGAGTCGAACCAGCACCTATATGGGATGCTGGCACTGCAGGCAGCAGCTTTACTAGCTATGCCACAGCACTGGCCCCTCTAAATAGTTTTTAGTCTAAAAAAAATTTTGTAAGGACACAATTGTTCAAAGATGCCCATATATATCCTTTATCATCAATTGAATTTTACTATATCTTTTTTTTTTCACTCTCTCTCTTTCTGTCTCTCTTCTGAATCAAATGAAAGCCAAGTTTAAAACACCAGGTCATAGCACTAAAAATACTCTAGCATGTATGTACTAAGAATAAAAGCATTTTCTTGGAAAATTTTGATTTTTGTTATCAAATTCAATAAGTTAATGTGATGGAGGGGTTGTGGCTCATCAGGTTAAGCCGTTGTTTGCAACACTAGCAATTCCGTATCAGAGGGCCAGTTTGAGTCCTGGCTGCTCCACTTCCTGACCAGCTTTCCTAATGTGCTTGGAAAGACAGTGGAAGATGGTCCAAGTACTTGGGTCCCTGCTACCTATATAGACCTGGATGGAGTTTTTGGCTCTGGATTTGACCTGGTCTAGCCCTGGATGTTGTGGCCATTTGGGTAATGAATCAATGGATAAAAGTTTTTTTTCTCTCTGTCACTCTGCCTTCAAATATACAAATTTTTTAAAAAGACTAACATGATAAATATTAATTTTTCTACCATCCATACTCAAATTTCCTAATTTCCCCCCATTAATGTGTGGGAGCATACACATGTATATCTTAAATCCAAGGCCCATCACACATTGCATTGAGGTGTCAGTTTTCTTTTGTTTCCCTTGATCCAAAATGGTGTCTCACCTTGTCTTTTGTGGCATATTATGGCACTTTTTTAAAAAAAGATTTATTTATTTATTTGAAATGCAGTGTTGGGGGAAAGGAGGAGATGGGTGAGGAGAGAGAGAGAAAGACGAGAGAGAGAGATAGAGAGAGAGAGAGATCTTCCATTTGCTGGTTTACTTTCTAAATGGCCACAAAGGCCATTGCCAGTCCAGGCTGAAACCAAGAACCAAGAATTCCATCTGGATTTCCCACGTGAGTAACAAGGGCCAAAGTCTTGCATCATCTTCTTTGTATTCCCAGGCATATTAGCATGAGCTGGAATGGAGGCTAAGCAGCTGGGACTCCAACTGGAGCTCCGAAGTGGGATACTGGCATTGTAGGTGGCTGTGTAGCTCATTGTGCCACAATGCCACTCCACTTTGTGGCATTTATGATGAGTTCTGGTTGATTGTTTTGTAGAACATCCCTTAATTTTTACTTTTCTGATTGACTTCTTCATAATTTGATTCAGGTTAAACATTTTTGAGACTCCAATGGTCTTCTCTTTGAATTATAGCAGGGTCATACAATGTTAGTTTCTCTTGTCATTATTTTTTTTAAAACATCTGCTTTTTTAAAAAAATATTTTATTTATTTCTTGAGAGGTAGAGTTACAGTGAGAGGGAGAGACAGAGAGAAAGGTCTTTTGTCTATTGCTTCACTCCCCAAATAGCTGCAATGGCTGGATCGGAAGCCAGGAGCCAGTTGCTTCTTCCTGGTCTCCCATGTGGGTTCAGGGGCCCAAGGACTTGGGCCATCTTCTACTGCTTTCCCAGGCCACAGCAAAGAGCTGGATAGGAAGAGGAGCAGCTAGGACTAGAACCGGTGCCCATATAGGATGCTGACGCTGCAGGCGGAGGATTAACCTACTGCACCATAGCACTGACCCCTCTCCTGTCATTATTGTTGGAGATGTTAATGCTGAGCATCTGCTCAAGGTGATAAACACTAAAATTCTCTATTATAAAGATGCCCCTTCCTCTTTTGTAAATACTAAATATTCTGTGGGGTTATACTTTAAGAGGTTGTGTCTATACCATACCCTAATTTTTAGCCGACATTGGTGATCCTTGACTGGCCATACAATGTTTTAAAAGTTAAGGAACTGCTCACAAATATCCACATTCCTAGACTATTGTTAAACGTTGAATAGTGTTGCTGCCAGAGTTGTGATGCAGCAAGTAAAGCTTCTGCCTGAAATGCTGGCATCCCTTATAGGCTCTGGTTTGTGTCCAGGCTGCTCTACATCCCATCCAGCTCCCTGATAATAGCCTGGGAAAAGCAGCAGCAGAAGGCCCAAGTGCTTGGGCCCCTGCCATCCTCATGGGAGACTGAAATGAACCTATGGGCACCTGGCTTTGTCCTGGCTCACCACTAGCTATTGTAGTCATCTGAGGAGTGAATTAGCAGATGGAAAGATCTCTCTCTCTCTGTTTCTCCCTCTCTCTCTGTAACTCTGACTTAAAAAAATAGATGCTAGTCAAGTATATAGATGCGATAATTTTCCCAACATGCTATATTGCATTATTACAGTAATTGTGGGAATATGACCATATACTTAAAATCCATCTACCAGTCTGTTATTCAACTTTTATTTCCTATATCTACCATGTAATAAATATCCAATAGACTTTATTGAATGAAGCAGTAAATGAAAAGTTCATGTGAATGAAGGCATTCATTTGTCAGAAGACATTTGAGGAATAAAATAGTCTTGAGCTAGATAACCTCAACGGAAGGTTGCTATCACTTGTAGATTGTGAAATATATGATTTGATGGAATGAGCTGCCTCCATTTCAGGTAGCCAGTGGCAGAAGACAGGTTATTGGAGGAGACATATGTCAGTGAAGACAGGAGAGTGGTTGGAGAAATCCTTAAAAATGAGAGCAGTGGCATGGGCATTAGCAGTGAGGTTAGTTGGCAAGAAGTGATCTCATGAAGTCAAGATGTGATGATTTAGTATATAACAAGGAGAAACAGAAAGGGAGGAGTCAGCAGCTTCAGTTTAGGGCTGGTGGATGTAGAGAATCCAGGCAATGTCAGGGGTTTGACACGGTAGTAATTGGTAGAATTTGTTCCAGGTTCCAGAGACAATGTACGTGGAAGGTTATTCTGCAGGTATTTCACTTTAGTATTTGGGGTTGAGATTAACTTTCTCAATGTAGTCAAACATTCCAATGGAAATAATAGTATCCTGTAGTAATTTGAAAGCCAATCCTTCAGTTGTAATTTAAACTATATGTAGTTTGTTCAAGTTGAGACAGTCTGCAGCAGGTTGGAGGAGTAGACCCAAGAAATCATAGGAGCTAGTTGAAGGAGGCTATTTGGTCAGACTAGATTATAGTGACTTCCATTTTTTTTTTTTTTTTTTTTGTTCAGCAGTATCACTGTGGGAGCTTATCCAATTTCCATGACCTCAACTTGTCCAACGTCTGTGACCTGATTCACTAGGGCAGCAAAGGAAACAAAATCACTCTAACAACCCAGTCAGCTAATGACAAAGGCCATGCTTAGGAAACACTGATATAAATTTTATTTAAAAAGATTTATTTTATTTACTTGAAAGTCAAGTTCACAGAGGGAGAGGGAAAGAGTGAGGGCGCACGAGAGAGAGAGAGAGGGAGAGAGAGAGAGAAAGTCTTCCATCTGCTTATTCACTCCCCAAACAGCCAGAGCTGTGCTGATCCTATGTCAGGATCCAGGAGCGTCTTCTGGGTCTCCTACATGGGTGCAGGGTCCTACTGCTTTCCCAGGTCATAGCAGAGAGCTGGATGGGAAATGGAACAGCTGGGACTCGAACTGGCACCCATATGGGATGTTGGTGCTGCAGGCGGAGGCTTAGCCCCCAAGCCACAGTGCCAGCCCCTGATTTATTTATTTTATTA